ATACCGGATGCCCTCGCTCAGCCTGCTTCTGCTGCTGCTGCTGCTGCTGTTGTTGTTGTTGCTGCTGTTGCTGCTGCTGCTTCTGTTGCTGTTGCTCGTTCCGTGGTTCTTAAGGGGCCTCCGCCTCACATCTGAAGAGGCATGTAAGTAACAAGCCGCATGCAGCTGGTACGGGACGCTGCTACGCCGCTGCAACAGAAGTTGCTGCTGCAGCAGGTGCTGCTGCAGCTGCTGCAGCAGCAGAGGCTGTTGCTGCAGGGGCTGCAGCACACGATGCATCTATGGCTAGTTCGGAAGAGCAGCAGCATCACCTGGAGAGGTTTCAGCAGCGCAGCATCCTTCTCCGTGACTCTGCTTATGTCACCGAAAACCCTAAACCCTAAACCCTAAACCCTAAACACTAAACCCTCGCATTAGCATCCAACACCCCGGATCGAACAACAAAAGCTGCAAAAGGCATTAAAAACAAATAAGAAGTATTTAAATAGTTATATTTCAATAAAGATAAACAACTCAAAATCGGCATCTCTCTCTACGTGTTATAAAACAAATAACCGTACCTCCCCTCTTCCTCCGTCTTCTTCTCTCCTTCTATTTAAGAAATTAAAACAATTTCATTTTTAAACTTTTAAAGCCTTTATGGTTTATCAAAAGTCTTACAAAACACTCAGAAATCCGAAGAAGGGCCTCCATAGGGGGCCCCCTAAGGGGGCCCCCTTTGGGAGGCCCCCTAGGGGGCCCCCAAGGGGGCCCCTCGAAGGAGACTGGGGCTGCAGCCCTTCGTGTTGCGCATCTGAGTCTGATTTGACTGTCTTCATCTTATTTTTCTGCTAATATGTCTTTGTTTTATTTAGATTTAATTGATTAGACATAACGGCTTTAGGGTTTTTGTTGGGGAGAAGAGGAAGAAATACACACACACACACACACACACACACAGAGGAGAGGCACATTCAATCCAGCCTCTAAACCCTAAACCCTAAACCCTAATGCTTAATTCTAGGGTTTCGGTACTTGCTGCATCAGGCGCAGCTTGAGCTGCTAAAGCGAAGGCTGCTGAAAACCGCTGCAGCACAGGAAGGGGTCACCGAGAAAGCGCTCGCTAAACCCTAAAGCCTAAACCCTCAAAACTCTCTAAACCCTCAACCCTAGATACCCTCTAAACCCTAAACCACAGACATTCCCAAAACCCTAAACTCTCAGCCCTAGACATTAGAGTAGCCCTAAACCCCATAGACAGTCGCTGAACCCTAAAGCCTAGACAGAGACTAAGCCCTAAACCCTAGACAGTCACTAAACCCTAAACCCTAGACATTGGCGAAACCGTATATTCTAGTCCCCCAGTAATGCATGCAGCCTGCTGTGTAGGGAGGACTCTTCGCATATTTCTCTCCCTCAACCCTAAACCCTAGAAAGCCAGGGGAGGCCGCTGGACTACTTGTGGGCGCCTCAAAGCTGAGCCCATGTATCAGCTAGCCATCGGTACAGCTAGCTGCAGCTAGCTGGAGACGAACACACAAAAGCAACCAGTGGGAGCGATGATGGCTGGCCTGGAGGGGTTTCAAGGTGCCTAGCCCTTCTCATGCGAAAAAAATAAGCGATCGTATGTTACAGTTTAGGGTTTAGGGTTTAGGGTTTATGGTTTAGGGTTTAGAGCGCAACGTCTTTTGCGTATGAGTTACGCAGACGGCCATATCAAGGAAGCACTCCAAGAGGCGCTCTGGGCTGCACGCTCTAGCTCTGCTGCTGATGCTACTGCTGCTGCTGCTGCTGCTGACGAGGGGGATGAGTACTCCTTCAGGCCTCGGATCTCCGCCGAGTCTCAAGTGCTGGCTGCTGCGGCTGCTGCCGCTGCTGCTGCAGCAAGGCCAGCAGCCGAAGCAGCGGCAGCAGGAAACTGCAGCAGTGTCCATTTGCGGCTATACTATCAAGGTATTGAGGCGAAAAGGAAGAAGCAGCAGCAAAAGTTGTTGTTGCTGCGCCAACAGCAGCAGCAACGATCCCGCTGCAGTAGTAGTAGCAGCAGTAGCAGTAGCAGCAGCAGCAGCAGCTCCTGCGGCCTGCTTGTATCCCAGCAACTCTATGAAGATGCGCTGACTCGGAGGCGGAAGCACCAGCAGCAGTTGCTGCTGCTGCAGCAGCAGCAACGGCACCTAAGCAGTACATCCAAGCTGACGCCGGCTTCTCTCAGAGTCTTCAAGCAGCGGCTGTCTCGGGAGCTCAAGTAAACCCTAAAGACAAACCTGCTCTGCAGCACGAAAGCCAAGCTGCTCGCGAGCTGCTAAACCCTAAACCCTAAGCCCTAAACCCTAGCTGCTGCGACGTGCATGCAGGCAGGCCTACGCCAGCCTTCAGCAGCAAACATCAGAAGCAGCTGCCCTCCCGGCCTCTTTGCTCCCTGACTGCTTGCAGCTGCTGGGAATCCTTCAGCATCAACATCCGCAGCAGCAACAGCAGCAAGAGCAGCAGCAGCACCAGCAGCAGAAGAAGAACGATCCACTTCTGAAGGCCAGAAAGCAGCTCATCTCTCAAGAAGCGGCAAGCAAAGAGCTCGTCAGGGCCCCTACACCCTAAACCCTAAACCCTAAACCCTAACTCGGATAGGGTATCATTCAGCGCTAGAAGACGTCATCTCTGCCTTGTGGGTTTGAGGGTTTTAGATTTCGCTCTAGAGGGAATATGGTTTGGGGCTTAGGGTTTATGGATTACGGCCTAGGGTTTAGGGTTTAGGGTTTAGGGTTTGCTGCTTGCAGCGCCTGGTTAAAAGGCTATGTAGCCTGCTGGACCCCGAGGGTTTGGGGCTTATATACAGAGAAAGGCTCTTCCAGTTCCTTGCGGGTCTCATATCTGACTGCAGCAGCAACGCCGACAGCAGAAGATGCAGCTGCTGCAGCAGCAACAGCTGCATCTGCGGCTGCAGCCAATGCAACAGCAGCAATATCATTCGCAAGGACATGCGCTGCAGCAGCAACAGCAGCAGCAGCAGCAGCTGGTGCCCACAGCTGGCTCAAGGAACGAAGATGTTAGGAACTACGGGCCGTAGAGAAGCAGAAGGGGGAGGCAGCACCTCCGCAGCTGCAGACGCAGCAACACAGCTGCAGCAAGTGTGGCATACACCTGCTGTTGCTGTTTCTGACGGTGCCGCAGCTGTCAGCATTCATTTTTGCTGTTGAATCCCGTGCTTGCGCTGGTGCCGTTGCGGCTATTGCTGGTGCAGCAGCAGCAGCCTATTGAAGCAGCTGCTGTTGGTGCTGCAGCTGCTGCTGCAGCAGAGGTGCTGCTGGCGCACAATTGACTGTCCTCGTGTATCGAGCAGTGCAGCAGAGTTTCTGATGTTTGTAATTGTTCGGGTCCTCAGGGGCATAGGGTTTAGGGCTAGGGCTTGCAGCATCAGCTAGGGTTTCCTTTCACTTGTGGGGCCTGCAGGAGACGCGCCAAGTGTATGCGGAGCTGCAGCGCTTAAGTAGGGACTTCTTGCCGCTGCTCTTGAACAGACAGAAGAGTTATTTCTTCCATCACAAACACCCGCGTAAGGGTTTAGAGTCTGGCGTCTAGCGTTAAGTGTTTAGGGTTCAGGGAGCCCAGCTCAGGCATGCAGTTAAGGGTTTAGGGTTTCCGTAGCATGTGCAGAAGCAGTTACAGCCCCGAGCATGCAGCAGTGACAATGAAGCTGCCGTGGCTGTTGAAGGGTTTAAAGTTTAATACCTATGCTCTAGAGGTAAGGTTTAGAGGGTTCAAAGGACCTACGGTTAGGAGAGTTAAGGGTTTAGGGTTTAGGCCCTGCTGCAGCAGGCGTTGTCTTCAGAGCAGTCGTCGCAGCAACCGTTGCAGCCCAAGGCCCGCTGCAGCTCCTCAGCCGTTACCGAACGGCTGCTTGAACGTGGTGAGTGGGTGTCTTATCCCTTTTGAGTTTCTTGTTTAGACAGTACAGTTGAGGCTTTAGGGTTTACAGCTGAGAGATGCAGAAGACAGCAGGAAGGCAGCACCACTGCTGCCTTCCTCCCAAATGCATTAAACCGTAGAGGGGAAAAGCTGCTGTTCACAACTCTAAAACTGGTGAAAGAGAGTCTTGCGACTGGGGTTTGCGTGCAGGAAGGCAACGGGAGGAAAGAAAAGCGCTGCTGCAGCAGCAGCACCAGATGAAGCAGCAGCAAGAACAGCAGCGACGACCCGGGAGCCGACGGCAATACAAAACACTGGAAACAACGTCGGTGGGACCTCGGGGATATCGTAGGGGTAGCCTGTTGCAGCAAAAAGAAGTATAGGGCATAGAATAACACTTCATTCTGCTTAGTAGCCCTGACATGTTATTTCAGCTGTATCGATACACCCGGGAAGACGCCTCACTTCACTGAGGTGTATAAGCACCTCGAGTTATGCGCATAAGCTGCACCTCCAGGTGCACATACACCTCACGTGCACCCAACACACCAAAAGGAAACTGCAAGGCTATTGAATCCCGTGTATTCCAGAAAGATGCCTATCGCAATTAGTAGGGTGGGGGATCAAGGCACTTCAAGTGTGTACGCTGGATCTGCAGACGACAAGCGGTGTGTCTAGACACGTGCAGCTGTTTGAGCTGGCACATTACCAGAAAGAGCAACAGCAGCGGCAGCAGCAACTGCGGCAGCAGCAGCAGCAGCAGGAAGACCTGCGGGAATGCACCTTTAGGCCCAATTTAGATCTGTCGCTCAAGTCATCTCGGTGAGAAAAAGAAATCAAAAGTTTCCTCTCACCTCCCCTCGCTAGCGCACACACTTTGTCTTCTTGTTGCTTGATGAAATGCCTGTCCTATCTCTCGCAGCCACCTAGCTGCTCTGCTGGTGTGTCTGTACATACACCTGAACAAACGGCAGGATGCGATAGTATTACAAGCACTTCATGCCTGTCCAGATGCACTATCCGCCCTACCACATCTAGGAGTAGATACACCCAAAATCAACATAAGTAACACTGCGCTGTACCGGCAGGTCATATAGACTACCTGCGGTTGTATATATCTGTTGCAGCACCTGTGTAGATACGGAGAGGTATGCTTGCTTGGGTGTGTATTGTGAAGTGCGCATGCATGCACGAGAGCACTTCTCAGCCTGATGAAGGTGTGTATGGTGATGCAAAATGGATTACACTGCAGCTGCAGGAGCAGCTTATGTTTGCATGCGCCGTTTGCCGTCCTTCCTTGTTTGTATCCGCCGCATTTTCCTCTTCAGCTGCAGCCTAATAGCACACTGAAGACAGCAAACCTCTCAACACCCCTTTCGATTGTGCTGCTTCGCCTATCTCCTCAGGGGCCTAGGGCCAGGGCCTTCCCCTCCTGAAGGATACGGGGCTGCTGTAGAGAGGCTCCGCCGGGGCGCTGCTGATAGAGATCGCCTCTTTAGGTTTCACCAAAGCAGGCAAATCCTAGCCCTATGTTCTAAACCCTATCTAGCTGTCGCTGTATTTGTGTGTCTCCTCTGTTGCGGCAACACCTCCTCGCTTAATGCCTGAACAACTCCCGAACCGTTCAATGTACACTCATTCAAACAAACGAACTCTGTGTTTAAAACAACAGCTGGAGCTACTATGGCAAGATAGAACTTAAAACAAAAGGCAAGACTGATAGGAGCCACAAGAAACCCTCAACCCTGCTTCGTTGTTTGTAAAAACCCAACACAACCTCAGATGTCTCTTATTCAGGTTGGTGGAAACCCCTTCCTCTGTACGCAAGGAAGAGGGGCCGTTCAGCTTCTCTGAAGGCCACTACACCCTCCGTCTGGCTCCTGAAGTCTTCGGCGTTTCCGTCGAAGTTCAAAAGGGGAGGCTGGTTCGCATTTCCATTCGCGAAGGAGAAGACCCCAGAACGGCAGTACACAACACTAAACCCTAAACCCTAAACCCTTAAGCCTAGACGTTGCTCTCTGGACACTTTAGCTAAAACTTAACGTCGCCGTCGAAGCAGCCATTGATAAGCTTCCTAGCATGCACTGGCGGTGTACGGTAGTTTTTCTCTGGAGCTTGTCAACCCTTCACGGGTGTACGGTTTAGGGTAAAGGGTTTCGGGTTTCGGCGTTCGGCATTCAGGTTCAGTCTTTCTGTCGGTCCCATGGCCTGCATGCGGAGGAGCAGGAGTGGCTGAATAGCATCATTTTAAAGGAGATGGCGGCGCGCAACCTCTTTACTCTTGTAGACGGCGAGAGCCCAGGGGAGAGGCGACCACAGGCAGTTGAGACTCTTCACGGGTTTCCAGAGGCCCTGCAGCAGGAGGTATGGCATCGAGGGCCCCCTAAGGCCCGTAGAGAGCCTCGAACGGTCCCCACACCAGCAGCATCTGCAACGGCGACCTGCGCAAAGCCACAGCGCAAGCTTTCTGAGAAAGAGGCACTGGACGCAGGGACCCCAGGAAGGCCGCTACAGCCTAGCTCGCCAGACACAAGAATGAGGAAAGAAGAGGCCCTAGGTAGCCCGCCTTTGGTGCAGTCGGGGACCCAGCGAGACAAGCTGCTGCCAGCCACAGCAGAGGGCAGCTCACAGAAAATACGCGAATACGAACAGTTTGAACAGAATGATATTTGGAATGTCCCCGTGGCCCCCACTTCTAGCACACCGCCAGAGACCGAGAGAGACGCTTCCTTACCTACCTCCTTGGAGACGCCTTCAGGGCAGCAGCATCAACAAGAAAAACTGCAAAGGGAAGAGAAACGCAACCAGAAACAGCAACTCCCGCAGCACCAGAGGCAGCGGCACCACATAGAACAACACCAAAAACAACTGCCACAGCAGCTTCCCGGTGTGTCCGAGGCCCTTCCTGAGGCCATTCCCCCCGCACCTATTACTGCTGCTGCAGAGCAGAAAATACAGCAGCTTCAACAGCTGCCTGAAAGGGAGAGAGACGAGGAGGGGGGAGAGGAGCAACAGCAGCAGCAATCCCAGGACACACCTAGCATCGCGGAAAGCGGCAGCCTCCGCTGTCTGTCAGTCTTCCCTCCTGATACTGGGGGGGCCGTACCTGATTGCCTTCACAACCGAACGAGCAGCAGCAGAAGCAGCAGCAGCAGGAGCAGCATCAGCAGCAGAAGGGAGATTGAGACCCCTTCTAGTGAGGGCTCATGGGGCTGGCTCAGTCCCGTGGCGACAGAACGGAACCCTTGAACTCAAATGCATGTACTGATTCTTGCTGGCTAGGCTGCATGATGCCTTCATTCTTCTTAATCCTCCGAATCTTCTGTCTTCATTTAATAGCCTCAGTGGCTGCCAACATTTCACCATCTTCATTACGCGCAGCTAAGAGTAAATGGCGGATGACGAAGTAAATTTGCTTTCCCACTTCAACAGAGGAGGAAGATAAACTACGGACCACTGTGGAAGTCCAGTAAAGAGACAGCGGAGTGTTCCATAGTTTCTTGGGGATGAAACGTGCCTTTGCCTTTCCTGCTTCTGCAGCGTTTTCGCTGCTGATGCTATTGTTGTTACGATGAGAAAAGCTGTCAGCTTGGATGTTGCTTTGGACGCCGCTGTTCAATCCATTTGCAGGGTTAGGGGATTGAGGATGAGCCAATGGTGTCGTAACACTCCTGTATTCTTCTGAGAGTTGTATTCGAATGCAATTTCACTAGTTTTTGTCTCGGTCTGGCCCACCTTTTTTCTTCTTTTGGAGGCCTCTCACCAATTCTCAGAGGGGCCAACTGGGGGTAAAGTGCCGCTCATAAGAAACCACAAGTACATGAAGAAGATGTAGCTGAGTAGACGCATAAAGAACAATGCCAAAGGGTGTAACAGATGAAAAGGCTTGAATACG